CTAAAGCTAAAAAAGGACAAAAAAAGGTAGCAACATGGGAGAATGATGAAAAAAAGGGTAACAACATAGAGATGAGAGAAACTTTATTTCCAAACATTTAAATTATTGAATAATACCTCTCAATAATTTTCAACAGTTTTATTTCTCAATATCCTTTAGCAATAATCTTTTTTCTCTAATTAATTATTAAATCAAAAAATTCATTTAATTTAACAATTGATTGTTTTGTTAAATAATCATTTTTATTGAAATAGAAGTAGAAGGCCAAATATTTATAATGAAAAAAAAAGTATTACGTAATTTAAAATACGCATAAAAAATCAATTTTGAAAAAAGTGGTCAAACTATACAAAATTCAAAAAAAATAATTTTGGACTCCCCCTACCCCTCCTTCCTACAAATAGTACTTTAATTTATAAACTTAGAATAGTATTTCAAATTGCTGGCTTGAAATAGAATAGTATTTCAAATTGCTGACTTGAAATACTTTTGACAAATATAACTCTTTACAACTTATATATTTAATTTTTTTTTTTTTAAATTAAAGCAAATAAATAAAAAAATAAACCCACAAGCAGATGGATTGATATGATTAATCTGAGTAAGCGAAGATCCATTATCACTTGTGTCAAGTAAGACATCTTTTTTTTGAGAAATATCTGTCTGATTTATACTTGACAAGGTTTGCTCCACTTTTATATTATTAAATTCATTAGAAAGATTTGACAATTTTGATGGTTGCTTTTTCCTAAAAAAAAGTTGATTATTTTAAAATAGATTAAAATAATTAGAATTAAATTAGATTAGAATAAAATGATGACTATTTTTGAAGTTTTTATATAACTTTGCTTCTTTTAAGACTCAACATGATATACTTTTGAAGAACTATTTTTTTGATAATTATAGGTACCCATCTGATTTTTAAGGGTCTTGGGCTACCCCTACAAATTTTTTTTTTTTTAAATTATTTTTTTTTGAAAAAAAAATTTGTAGGGGTATTAAAATACTAGTATTATTTTATTAAAATTAATAAAGTAATACTAGTATTTTTTAATATTAGTATTATTTTATTATATAGAACACATTTAGAGGGTAAGAGCAGACATAAAAAAAAAAAGTTGTTTTACCCTAATATATAATATATATATATATATATATATATATATATATATATATATATATATATATATATATATATATATATATATATATATATATATATATATATATATATATATACACACACACATACATACATACTTATGTACTCACTTATGAGTTTTTCAATAAAACTCATAAGTGAGTACTAGAACAAGGAATTGTAAAAATTGATGATAAAATTTGAAAGCCAATGCCAAAAAAAACATCAATAATATTAATTGCCAAATTGTTAGGATGTCTAAAAATGACAATTTTTAACTTCTAATGAAAAAAAATCTAAAATTAAAGAATCCTATAGTTGTGTCAGCTCCGGCCATTTGCTGTTGTTTAAAAGTAACCAATGATCAAGGCTGTATAGCAAAGAAGAAACCCCTTGTTTCAAAACCAAACTGATTAAAGTGATTATGGTCTACAAAAATGTTCCTAAATAAAAAAGTTTCCTTTTGGAAAAATGTTTTATGGACTGATGAATCCAAGTTTAATTGCTTCCAGTCTGATGGGGAAGTATAAGTTAGGCGCCCTATGAAGCAAGAAAACAATCTTTTATATACTCTAAAGACCGTGAATGGTTAAGGTAATATTAAAGTGAGAAACTATGTCCTAGCATGGTATCAGTCCACTTGTCAAAATTGATGGAGATTTAGATCAATAAAAAAACAAAGATATATTACAAAACATAATGAAGCTGTATGATGATGATAACCTACCTGTTACTTAAATATTATTGCACAACAACAATCCCCAAAGCATACTGAGAGGTCTTTAAAATCTTAGCTTGAGGAAAATAGATATCTAGAATGGCCACCCCAATCTGAATCCAATCTAGTTCCGATCAAGAACATATGGAACCATATTGGAGTGGCTTTAGGGGGGGGGGGATCATATCTTGATCATATCTTTCAGCATATCAAGATATGCTGAGGTATTTAAGAATAAGGGCTACCCAACAAAATATTAATTTTAGTTTTAATATTTTAATGTAGATTTTAGGCAGCACTTTTTTTTGCTTGATGTGCTATTTCTACGATTACAACTTTTTGTTGTATTTAGTTTTTAATAGTTATAGTTACACTTGAGTTAAAAATGATTTTTTATTTTATTGTTTATAGAAAATAAATGGAAATTAATAATTTTTTTTAAATTTATCTAATAAAGAAAGAAACTATATTAATCTGATGAAAACGTTAGGAGTACTATTTCTGTGATCACCACTGTGTGTGTGTGTCTATATATATATATATATATATATATATATATATATATATATATATATATATATATATATATATATATATATATATATCCTTATAGTGTAGTCGAAAGAGTCGTTTAATGTAAAAAAAGTCTCTTTCGACTACAATTTTAATTACCTCGTCTCTTAAGCTGTTTTTGATTGTCATCGAAATGTCAAAGCAATTAATTTATGCGGAAGTACATTAAATTTAATTGTTTTTTAAAAAATTTTTAAAAAACCGCAATTATAACGACTAGAAAGTTTTTTTTAATTAGTGGTGTTTTTGTTATTGATTTAATAAAAAAACATTTTTAAAACATGCGTAAATGTTGCTACATCGACTATCTTATAGCCTGACTCGCAACGAAGTGCTGCTACATCGACTGACAAATAGCCTGACTCGCAACGGAGTGCTGCTACATCGACTGACAAATAGCCTGACTCGCAATGGAATGCTGCTACATCGACTGACAAATAGCCTGACTCGCAAGGGAGTGCTGCTACAACGACTGACAAATAGCCTGACTCGCAAGGGAGTGCTGCTACATCGACTGAGGGTTTGGTTTGGCCAGGCAGTCTATCAATTAAAAAAAAAAATTAATTTTTAAAACTTTTTCTGGTGATGCCATGCAAGAGACATGCAAGAATATATATATATATATATATATTCTTGCATGTCAACAAAAAAGAAAATCTTTTCTCTGGCAGAGCCTTAAGTTAAATGAAAAATCAAAATAGTGCATTAAGTTTAATGATAATAATTGTCATGTAAAAGATTTCCTTCTGTTTTTGAAATGAATTTGATGTTACATTTATGGACAATACCTAATATATATATATATATATATATATATATATATATATATATATATATATATATATATATATATATATATATATATATATATATATATATATTAGGTATTGTCCATAAATGTAACATCAAATTCATTTAAAAAACAGAAGGAAATCTTTTACATGACAATTATTATCATTAAACTTAATGCACTATTTTGATTTTTCATTTAACTTAAGGCTCTGCCAGAGAAAAGATTTTCTTTTTTGTTTTGTTTATTAGTGAAATTTAGTATTGCATAATTTATGGATGATCCCTTTGGGTTGCATTTTTATTTTTGCAAATTTAGCATATCATAATTTAACTAATATAAGTTTTTAACTAATAATTCATTCTTTACAAACAGCTATCAACAACAAGCAGTTAAACAAGTTTATTATATTCTGTTTTTAAAAACATTTTCTATAAAAATATAATTAAATTATATTTATCACTACAAATATGTTATCAATTATTCAAATAAATTTAAATTTTTTTTTTGAAATTAAAATAAAATTTTACACACCCCTCAGCTTTTTTTTCTTTTTCTGCAGGATTTTGAATAACTGTAAAAAAAATTGTAAAAAGACTTAAAAACAAACATCAAATAATTTGATGAGATTTACTATCATATAAACTATTGGTAATGTATGTATGTATATATATATATATAATATATATATATATATATATATATATATATATATATATATATATATATATATATATATATATATATATATATATATATATATATATATATATATATATATATTATACATATATATATATATATATATATATATATATATATTATACATATATATATATATATATATATATATATATATATATATATATATATATATATATATATATATATATATTATACATTTTATAACATTTACAATTTATGAATATTCATCATATATGCTATCGTAAATGTGTATATAATATCTACCTTATAACCAAACTTTATTGTTAAGAGACAGATTTGATGAGAAAGAGAATTGTTAAGTTATAGTTAAAAGGAAAAAGAAAACTCTTATATAAAACTCCGAATTGTTTAATTGCTTTAAAATTTTAAATGGTAATTGTTTAATTGCTCCTAAACTTAAGATCTTTCTATGGTTCACAACAAACATACTCAGTCCTGATTTGAAAAATAAAATAACATCAGAAATATCATCTGGTTATAAAAAAAAGCCTCAACTTTTGCATGTCTAAACATAGTTCTGAAAGCTTGGGTGTTAAATGTAGGTTGAACTGTGTTATTTTGATGTTAAACTTGTTTTAATAACTTTCAAGTTTTTTTGTGTTGAATAAATAATAGCTTAACTTATCTAAACATTTTATTCTTTTTTTTTTTTCATTGTGCGGCTTGCGCTAAGTAACAAAAGAAGTTCTTCCTATAGTAAACCTTGTTTGTAATGATGATCATTTTCATTACAAACCTCGTTTGAAATAAAATAGTCATTTTGAATAAAGACAATCATTTAAAATAATAAAAATGGACTTCATTTATTTCTGCTTAATTAACCATTAAAAATATAATATTGGTTTCACAAAATCTTATCTACATCTAAAAACTGTTCAGCTAATGCCCTTTTTAAACTGGCTTGTGCAGTTATTTGTTTTACTGTGCCCCCAATGCCATCGCAAGCACAGTTACCGAGTCATGTAGCAAAAAAAAAATCTTTTCAGCGTCATTATCTTAGTCTTTCTTGTGATAGCAAAGATTAATAAAGTTTAATGTATAAAATATAAATATATAAAAAGGTTTTAATATTACTTGAAGAATGTTTTAATGTAATTGGTAATTAGAAGTTGTATTTTATGTACTAAGTATACACCGTGTTCAGTGTCATCAAAAAATACCATTTGATTTATAGTGTATAATAACAGGATAAACTGTACATTTTAGTTTATTTCATTAGTAATTTCGCACCTTATCCTGAACAATAATTAGAGGTTTTCTGGAAAGTCTGCAAAGTCTTCAAAATTTTGGCTTTGAGAGTACCAAATGTAAAAATGATTTTTTGACAATAAATTGTCACTTTTAATTACTTTGATTTTTGTCCAATATTTCCATGTTGTTTTATTGCCAAAACTTTGTTTTTAACTTTTAAATGTTTTTATTATCTAATTTTATTTGTTTTATTAATATTATTATTTTCATTGACAGATTTATTTCAGTATTGGAACAGCAGGGTATACATACATCAACAGAAATAGGTAGAACATGCAAGGAGTACTGCTACATCTGACACAGGGTTTAGGCAGTATAATTTTATTAAAAAAAAAAAATTCTGAACTTGTTTTTTAATTTTCTTTTTTTATGTCAACAGTTTATGGAAAAAAAAACTACGGGCTGTATATATGTATAAATATCATTGACTTAATATGCTAGAACTTGACTTAGATGCTATGCTTTTTTGCTAGGCATCAATTGTGCGTACACATCAATTCGATGGCTATGAACCATCACAAGATCAATGGTTTTATGGGAAAGAAACTTTCCTTTTTTTTGATGACAGTTTATAAAAAATTAAATATTGTTTTTAGCTTTTCTACCTCCTCATAAAAAGTAAGTAGATACATTTAAAAACTCAGCAGACTTTGGGAGTGACCATTATTCTGGAGTTAGTATTAATATCTGTGTATTTGAAGAATATGCTTTCACATTTTTCAGTTTATTTTTTGATTCATTCATAAGTAAGTATAGATCATCAATTATGTTAACCATTTGAAGAAGTTAGTGGTGTGCAAGATGGTTTCAATGTACGATCAATATTATAAGCTTTATTTATTTTGTTTCTTTCTGCCTCAATAATTTGATTTCTGCAGCTGGTAATTGTTGTAGTTTTGATACTAATTTAAGCTTAAAACATCTACTGATTTAAGCCTTCATTAAAAAGTGCAAATTGTTCTTGTTCAAATTCAATGTGACAAAAGTATTGATCATTCGATTCTACTTCTTTATATATATCATGTACCTTTTTTGTAACAACTTATGCCTAATTTCTACTCAGGTACACAAGGAATTTTTCACATTTTTCTAGTTTTTGTGCTGATTTGACATATATTGGCTGTAACAACAATAAAAAAAATTTGTACAACAAAAAAAAAGCTAATTAACACACAAAAACTTTTTATATAAACACATTAAAGAATAAAAAATTAAAGGAAAATTTAAATAGCTTTATTAAACTAAACTTTCTTTATAAGAAATTTTCTTGTCATAGATTTTTTATTTACATAGACAATAAAAAAAATTATAGAAAAAAATTTTATTTATAAATTATATAAAAAAAAATATAAAAAGGCTGAAGTAAATGAGTGCAATAGTGGAGAAAAGCTAAAAATGAACATGGCAAGCCATACAAGCTGCTCCTTTAAACAGCTTTTTACAAGACCTTTTAGTTTTTTGCGCAAACTATCTGATTATTCATAAAAAATTGCTTATTAAATACAAAATTTGATTTTAAACTTGTTATAAGCATATGTTTTTAACATTAATGTTACAATAATATATTCATTTATTTATTTGCAACTTTACTTATTTTATAAAAAATTTGAAAAACAAAGAACTATAAAGGTTTTCACTGCTAAAAAATTCTTTATTTTCTTACTGTAAAAGAATATCAAAACTTTATCTCAAAATAAAGAAAAAACTTATTTCTATCGTTTATCACGCTGTTTTAGGTTTTCACACTAGCTTTCAATTTATTTATTAGAACTTTACTAAAAATAAACACATTTTGTAATTTAAAAAAATCAATCTGAAACTGGAACTTTGTTTTTTGTTTATTCAATGTAGTTTGCACAAGAATTTTTAACTTTTCTAATCAATATCTAAAGGTAGAGAAGAAAAGAAAGCGATAATTATAAAAAAATTATACTTTTGCAAGAGCCATAAATTGCTCCTGCAATTACCTTAAGGAAGTGTGGGCGAGGGCGAAAGCTAAAGTTTCCCGCCGAGACCTGCAGATTATCATTTTAAATTTTATTGCATAAAAACTTTTTAAACACAAAATATACTAATAATCATTTTAAGGTTTTTTAAATTGAACTTTTTTATATAATTTTGCTTCTTTTGAGAATCAAAATAACATATTTTCAAAAATTATTTATAGGGCCACCCTTTATATATATATATATATATATATATATATATATATATATATATATATATATATATATATATATATATATATATATATATATATATATATATATATATATATATATATATATATATATATATATATATATATATATATATGTGCATAAAAAATAACAGCCAGTCAACAGCCAACTACCGCGCTAAATGACTAAAATTGCTACTTTGACCACCCAAAATGAATTCTTCCCAGTCATAGTTGACTGGTTGAAAAAAAATTAGAGTTTCAAAAAACAAGGTTTGACAAATAATAATGTTATTTGGAAAATGCATATACTAAGTTTTCATAAAATCAATAAAATTTGGAAAAAGGGTTTAAAATAGTTTTGTTTATGCTATGCTACCTTAATTGCTATCAGCTTGATAAAGCAAAAAGTTTAAAAGTGAAAAGAAGTTAAAGCAAATTTTAATAACTTTAGTACTAATTTTACATTATTAATTCTTACTAATTACTAATTTACATTACTAATTTGATAAATTTAAAATTATTAATTATTAAAAATAAAATTACTCATTTTCACTTGACTTATCATTCTGCATGTTGTATCCTTTAATTCCTTTTACTCGTGCTTTTAAAAATTTTTATTGGTCTATTTTTTATCACTGCATTTCAACCCTCCATTCCATGAATTTGGGAAATCTTGCTCCCATCTTCATGTTTTTTCACTGATTTTTGCACACCATATTCAGATTAATAAATTCTAAAATAGTCTAATAAATCACCAAGACAAATTACCAAAAAATCATACTTTCTGATATCAGCCCATTAAAACCACAATATAAAAATATATGAAAAATGTGACAAAATATTCTAATTTTTATTTTGTCAACTTTAACTTTTAATGATGATATACTATGGTATTGCTAATTAGCTTTATTAGACATGATTGGCTGAATAAGAAACAGTTGCTAGATAAGATTAAAAAAATGAGCTAGATAAGATAAAAAAAATTTTTAACAACATTTTCACTTCCAACAAGGCTGCAAGTAACTATTATTAGAGTTGGAAGTTACTAGAAGAGAAAAAATGTTTATATAAAATGTTAATCATTATCTTGCTCTATAAAAAAGTTTATAGAGCAAGATAATGATTAACAGATAACTTAAAACATCGAAAATTATATGAATCAGAAAAACAAGATGAAGGGAGTAAATATTAAAATACTGATGTTTTAAGACAAATTAGAATTTTAAAACAAAAAAGAATTTTTGGAGCACTTAGGAACAGTTATAGTAAAAGGATGAGACTTAATTCAATGACAAGTAACAGAAGAATGAATTTTAGTAGGTAGCACAAAAGACGTCTCCCCCACCTGTATTAGGGACTCGTGAGTATTTATAGAAAAAAAAAAGCAATATTACGACGATGTGATAATGGTTGGAGGTTGGCTGCAAGAGCAGGTCTTACTATGTTTACAATGTGGTTTTGCAACTTTGTCTATAAAAAAAAGGGCATCATTCAAAGATCTGCTCCAGATATGGCAACAGTATACAATACAAGGATGGATTTGAGATTTGTAGAGATAAAGAATAGAATCCAGAATAACTAAAAGGCAAGCACGATAAAGAGATGCAACCTTAACAGATGCTAATTTTGCAATGGATTTGAAATATCAGTGAAGAACCCAGAGTTTATTTGGGGATACCGTTTTTTTCCGGCAATGTTGAGGATGGGGGTTTGAGCCCCCTCCTTCTCCTCTTCCTCCCCTCCCCCCTCCTTCCTTCTTTCCTACTTAAACGGTGCCGCAACAATTTTAAATAATTATTTTTTTATACACATGAATTTACTGGAGGACGATGTTACTTTAGATACAATAAGAAAGCTATTTTACTTAAGACTTTAATTAATACTTTCCTTGCAAATACCACCTTATAAGTAAATAATTATTAAAAATTGTTTAAAGTATTTTAAACATTTATTAACTATATTTTTACAAATTTAATTTTAGTGTTTAAATGTTTAAATACCTTAAAGCATTTTTAATCAATATTTACATTAAATGATATATTTACATATATTAAATCGCGTAATATTTTTAAAATTAACAAAATAGTTTTAGGTCTTGTATTTAAATTGAAAACATAAGCATTTAATAAACAAATTCGTTAAGCATTTAATAAACTATTCGAAAAAATAACATAAGCATTTAATAAACTTATTTACTAATTATTTAATTTTAAAATTTTGATTTAAATATTATGCCTGTTCCTTAAATATTATGCCTGTTTAAATATTATGTATAATTTAAATATTATACCTGTTCATTTAACATTACAAAAGGTTAATAATTTTTAAAGTGATTTTATGGTGCCTTTTAAATTAAAGATAATTAAAGAAGAGATAATTATGGTAAACAAAATTTTGAAAATGAAATGTTAAAAAATGAAAATTAAAAGCATATTTATTGTCATCTTATTTGAATTAAAAGCATATTTATTGTTATCTAGCATAGTTATTGAAATCTTTATTTTTACTATTTTAAAGAATATTGAAAAAAAAAAACTTTTAGAAAAAGTTTACGCTTCATTTTTTCGTTTTCCTCACATAAATTAAAATAGCAAGTTAAAGATCAAACGTTCAATCACTCAAAAATATAACTTGCGTGATCGTTACGTTACTTAGTAACCGAAGGCAAATTATGTTACGTAGTTATGCAAAAACGTTTTTACATTTTCTTTTGAATTCATTGAAAAAAAAATGAATTAGCTAAAATAAACTGAAAATTATTTATAATATACTGCAATAAAAACTGGAATTTTTTTTCTATTTTTCATAAAAAAGCAAAAGAAAAACTAAAAAAAAAAATTTTTGGACGCTTTTTTTTGGGCGCTTATACCAGTCCAACGGTACTAAAACACGCCTGGGTTCTTCACTGTATATGGTTTCCGAAAAAAATCAGAAGTAAAGAATTAATTTTAAAAAACGAAGAGTAGATGACTCATTGAGTACATCACAGTTTTTAAATATAGGAAGATCTATTGTTGGAATAACGATTAGCTGAAAAAAATTTTATCTGAGTTTTATCTGAGTTTATTTTTACAATGGTTTCAAGCAAACATTTTTACAACAGTTTCAGACTTCTGTTTTCTAGAGAATGTTTTAGCAATAGATATGGAAGTAATGATTACAATTGGAAACTGCAGAAGCACAATAAGTGGAAAACCATGGAGAAGAGTAAAGCTTGAAATTGTTGAGAGGGAATAATAGATTCCATGCCAGCCGGAATTCAAGAAGTTACATAAGAAACACATTGTCACCAGGAAGATCACAAATATTAGTGCATGATAGATTTGGAGAATTTAGCAATGACTATGGTTTTTTGTGCTTTAAAGTTCTTGATACTTCGTTCATTTTTTAAATTGGTTAACAAGCTTTACTTAAAGCACAAATAGTACTCAGTACACTATCTAATCCATACTATCTGTTATTTAATCTCAGTACATTATATAACCATGTTGCGCACAGATCATGTATCAGCACTCGAAATAATGGCCGATCAATGATCAGCTATTTATAGGGAAATTTTGAAAAATTAAGGGAAAATAACCTGTTTTTGTGAAAAAAATTACATTTGATCGGCAAGCTTTGAAAAACTATTTCGAGCACTGATGTATAATTTGTGCACAACATGGCACTGTTAGTACTCTGATTATTTTACTTTCTGAAAGCTACCACAGAGTTTGGGAAACCTGACTACTAGTCGGCCTCAGAACCATAAAACTGATATTTAGAGTTTGTACCCTCATTAGGAGATAATAGAATGAGTTGCCTAGTAATAAAACAGAGACTCGAGCAAAACTTATGCAATGAGTCAAGTAAATCCAGAATTAAACATCCTAAACTGAAAACAATCTATTATAAATACATCCTGCCAGCCTAATAGATAAAGAAGAGGTACGAAGCTGGTTAACAGATAGAATCTGTTTTTCTGTCTGCTTAAGATGAGCATTTTTACCAAGTCTGCCCAAGATGAGTATTTTTACCAAGACACCATCTGTAGGCTTTACTTACCCAAAAGCCCTAAGGTAGTGGGTGTGTTAAATCAGAGTTAGCATCTTCTAGCTTTTACCTAAAAAGTTTGAATTCTACAAGACAGTAGGACATGAAAAATTGATGAATAAAAAAAAAGATAAATAAATAAATAATAAAAAATAATCAATAATACACAATTTAAATAATAAAAATAAAATAATCAATAAAATACAATTTAAATAACAAAAATAAAATAATCAATAAACTTAAATTTAAATAAAATATTTTTAAAAATAAAACAAAATAAAAAAATATTAATAAAAATAAAACAATTTAAATAATAAACAAAAATAAAAAATAAAAAATAAAAAAAAGATGAATAAAATGCAATTAAACACTATTTAGACAATTATAACTTATTTCAAATGTTTTAAATTACTTTTTATTTTGTATATATACTTTAAATATTTAATTATAAAAGACAGGCATTTATCACGTTGAAACCAGTTTTGTAACTAAATTGTTAACGTATTATTTAGTTTCAGCTTATAATGATAATAATAGTAATTCTTATTGAAAAATACAATTATTTTTTAAAAGCTATAAAAAAAACTATATAACTTTTTTGGTTTTGTTTAAAAATACAGTGTAAAAAAGTAATACTTTTTAAATCAGTAATTTGATCACCAAATAGGTGTACTTCTCTTTCATAGACTTCTCCAGTATTGCAATTTTTAGCTAAAAATATCAATCTTTAAATTATAACAGTCTTTGTATTCAGCTATTTTTTCTAAACTTAATTATTTGTCATTTTATTTCAACTACTAGATTAAGTTTTTTTTTTTTTTTTTTTTTTTTTTTTCAGAAAAAATAGATATATCTGAGCAATTAAAACTACTAAACCTTTTTTAATGATAATTTTTTTTTCATCAATTGAAATGGTTTGAACAACACCTTCATAAACTTCATCATTGATTGTTGTAATTTGTATGAGTGCTCCTATGTGCATATCCATTTTTGACTTTCTTTTATATAAATAAATTCTGTTTAAAAATGTATCTGCACAAATATAAGGACTTGGATTAAATTTTTATCTTTTCATTTTGATACTTCAAAATAATTATTCAATAATTATTATTTAGTTTTTTTCAAATTTAACTATTTTTTATTATTATTATACATTATTTAATAAAATCCTTTATACAAAGCACAAGTTTGTTGTTTTAAATTACATAAAACAATAAGTTTTTGCTTTACAAGAAGTGTGCGTGAGTTTGTGTTAGTGTGTGTGTGTGTGTGTGTGTGTGTGTGCGCGCGTGAAAGCGTATGTGTGTGTATCCGTGTGTGTGTGTATGATTTGTAATAAACAGTTGTAATTTTTTGACTTAACTCAGCTGAAAATTTTTTTTAAATCTCTATTTACATTAAAATTGTAATTCTGAGTAAATCATTTGAAATCAAAATTATGTAACTTTTAATACATTCTCATGTTTTTAAATCACTTAAAAGTAGTTATTATATTAAATATAAATTCTTTTTTTAAAAAGAAAATATATAAAATTTTATTACACGATAAAATTATTACAGAATGTCTAGAAAAAAATGTATTGCTTTTGCTGGTTTATTTTTAATCCCGGTTTTTTACTTTTTTTTTTTTCTGAACTTGCGTGATCTGCATGCGCCAAGAAATATTGATTTTGAATTTTGCGTTTAAAAGTTATTGAGTGCAGAGTGGGGTGTTTCATATTTTATACATTTTTTTAATTGAATTCGCAAATCGATTTATAAATTACCCATTTATATGAAAATAAATTTAAGCAAAAAAAAATTATAATTTTTAAGGGTCCCTGCCAGTTTGATTTTAGGCCAAAAATGTTGGATGTTTTAAACGCCTGGCGGGTACCTTAAAATTTATCCCATAAAATTTTTTATTCTTTTAAATATTGTATGTTGGATTGAATAATAATCATAATCACATGTTAAAAAAATTAAGAAATTAGCCTACAGAATCTTCTGAAATTGGTGAAAAATCCAAATTTTCCTTCACTAAAACCTATTTTATCACTCGGCGGCGTATAAAAAACGTTTTTGATTTTCTAATAAACTGTTTTCAGACACGAAAAAAACTATAAACTGGATAGTTTTTATAATAGTGTCAAATTAATTCTAAAAAAAAAATTTGATCCATGGAGTACCTTTCCCGGACATTAGTAAACAACCGGGGTTGATATTTGACCGGGGCCGGGACCAGGTTTATAACCGGGGTTGCATAAAGATTTATACATCCTAGAGTATATTTATTTAATTGAAAATTCATGTTATATTTTGTTTATATATGCATATATAAACATTATAATGATCAACATGGTTATCATAATCATCATTATTATCATCGTGATAATGATTATGATGATCATCATTATTATTATCATGATCACGATCATCATCATCATCATCATCATCATCATCATCATCATCATCATCATCATCATCATCAACAAATAAATTAGGAATGCCTGATGATAATGATGATCATCATCATCATCAGGTTTAATCATGGATCATCATCATCAGGTCATGATCATGATCATCATCATGATCTTTATCATCAGCTTCCAAACCTTTAGCCTTTCTCTTTTATGCTGTTTCTTTAACATAAACAATCTGGAGCATTTTTTTTTCCTTTTGGAAAAAATGTTTGGGAGCTTTTATTACTTATCTTCAACTTTAAGTCAAGCCTTATTCAACTCTACATTTTTCACTATCTTGAGCAGTTTCTTATTAAACATTATTAATTTTTTTTATCTTTTTTACAAGAACATCTCTCTTAAGAACAAATGTCCTTTTATAATTGCAAAAAGCTAATGTAAAAAAGTCCTGTCTGACGTTAATTAATCTCTAATTCATTTGTCTGATCTGATTTTACTTTTCCCCAGAATTAAGCAGAGTTATTTGCAAAGGCTAAGATTACCCTTATGTGACTCTTGAATATAATAGCCATACTCTTCCTGACAGTTGAACAGATTAACTCATTGTTCAACTGTCAGGAAGTCACTCTGGCTTCCAATACTAAAGTTAATGCTACAAAATAGATTTCCATCATAATGTTTAAAAAGTGTTCTCCAGAACTCTTTTCAATTATTGCTAAACTTTTATAAAGTGCTAAATAAGTGGTTCCAATTTTTCAAAACTCTAGAAAATACTTTGACCTACAATTAGCTTTTACTATCTTATTAGTTTTTTCATACAAAGGTTTTGAGGTTATTAAATAATTTTTTTCTAACTGCAGTAGTAAAGTTATTATTGAAGGCCTACCATCTTTTATATTCTAAATAACTTTAAGGGTACCACAAGGTTCTACCTTTGCTCTTGTATTGTTTCTTATCTACAATAACAACCTTCATAAATTCTAAAGTGGCTCTATTTCATGACGACTCAACTTAATATTCTTCTCTTGACAAAAAGTCTTCACTTTTTTCTATAACAGTTTTCTATAACTTCACTTTTTTTCTATAACAGTTTTCTATAACTTCACTTTTTTCTATAATTTTAACTAAACCTAAGGTTTGCAGTGGCTTGTGGATTTTAAGTCTGGATTTAAAACCCACAACTTTTGTTAGACAACAAAACTCATATATTTACTGCAAAAAAATACAAAAAATTTTATTAATCCAGTTTTTTTTCTTGCACATCAAAAAAACCTTATAACGATTAGCCCTTTTCATGTTTTTCTTTTATATACAACCAACAACTTTTCAAGTCTTCAGTTAACCATTTCCTAGTATTTTTACTTATTCTCTATTTTAAAGTAACTCATAACTTAATAGTGGTTGCTTGCAAATCTTGTTGGAAGTAAATTTTATTTTGAAAATATATAAATTTATGCCAGTATTTAATAAATAGTAAATGTAAGCATAAGATTATAATATGATAATAATGTTTATTTGCATTAAAATTAAATACAAGAAGGTGGCACAGGTAATCACAAGATTACGCTTACATAACACCACTAATATAAAAATAGACAGAGATAGTTACAATACAAATTAATAGACTACGCAATTGCGTTGTAAATCATAATTATTTAACTTTCTTTTGAACATTGATAAATAAGGAGAATCAACAATGTGAGCTGGTAAGGAATTCCATAATTTTACAGTTCTTTCGCTGAAGAAGAATTTACGACAATCGTTTGTACATATATTGCGTGATATAAGTTTTTTAGCGTAACATCTAATATTGTAGTGAGAGTTAGAATAGGTAAAGAGATTCGAAAAAGGTAAGTCGACGAGGTTGTGTACAATTTTTTATACCATAACAAGATCAAATTTAACTCTACGGTATTCAAGAGAATCGAGATTAAGAAGAATTAGTCTCGATACGTAATCAGAATAAGAAATATGGCATCTTTTACAGGTAATTCTGCTAAAATATCTCTGAATATTTTCGATACAATGAATATCTTTTATAAAATAAGGGCTCCACACTAGGGTAAAAGACTCTATAATAGGTCCACATAGACTTTGTAGGCTTTTACTAAGAAATGAGGATCGTTACTGATAAAAGTTTTGAAAAGTAGGTAAAGACGAGAGTAGGCTTTTTTGACAATACGAGAGCAATGCTTAGAGATAATATAATATATAAAGTATTATAAATTTTTTTCTAACCCCGGCTATCAAGCCCTGCTAAATCCTACAGTTTAGCCAAGGCCGAGACCGGGTTTGAAAAGAGTCTAATTTTTAGTTGGGGCCCCTGTCTTTTACTATTGGACACTGACCTTAACGGCCCCTACTTAATAAACACTTGAACCCATTAAATTTAAAATTCGGAAATTTGATTGATAGTTGGCGGATATAAAAAAAAAGTAAGAGTATGAATTCTAAAGCAGCAAAGTAATCTAGCGGAGAATTAAAAAAGAAGGGGAAGCAAGTTTTTTGGATTGGTGAAGATAATAATAAGGAAATTTTAAAAAAACGAGCTTTGATAAACTTTGATATTATGCTGATACCAAATTTTTAAAAGACCAAAAGTCTAGTCGCCTTATGACTTTGGGGAGCAAAGACATGAGGTACAGACTGTAAATAAAGAGAAGAAGCAGTTGAAAATTTGTACTATTAAACAACTAACCCAAGTAGACGAATCAACTACAGAGCTAGAGCTTTTCTCGGACATTAGTGATATTAGTACAAAATCAGATGTTTCTTTTGATTTAGCGCAACCTGACCCAAGTAATTAAAAATAAGAGTTAGGATAGGGTGTTGTTAAAGATATTGCCATGAGTTCAGTGTCAAAAAATATTTTATCAAGAGATCTAATGCATGTATGTAATTATCGCTGATTTTTCATTATCTCATTCAACTATTTGGCTAGCTCAAATAAAAATCAATTCGCGAATGTGATGAACAATATAAGAAAAATGTTAAAATTGCTACCGGTAAAGCTATTTTTCCCTTAATAGCACATTTTGATGGGAAAATTATCAAAGATATCGCAGAAAGTAAAAAATTACGAAGAGATCGATTTGCAGTCTTGGTAAATATTGATAGTAAAATAAAAGCTATTAATCGTGGTACTGATCAAGCTCAATATGATGTTTAAGTTAAAATACTGGATGAATATGAAATATGTGATGACGTGAAAGGTTTATGTTTTGATGCAACTTCTTCAAATACAGGAAGACTATCTGGAACAAATGTCAGTTTTAATCATAAACAAAATTTAATTTTACTAGAGCTGGCTTGTAGGAGGCATGTTTATGAATTACATCTAAAACACTTCTGTGAAAAACAATGTAGTGGAAAAACTAAATTTTCAGAAAACGTTATGCTCAAACGGTTCCAATTAAACTGTAATTACATTAAAAGTAGCATTGACTTTCAAAGTTTGTAAATTATGATACTCAATCTATTACTAACACTTTCTTAGAAATTCATTGGCTCAAAGCTGTAAAATTTTGTAAAATGGCTCTAAAGGAAAGCAATTTCCCCAGAGGAGATTACAAAGAGCTATTGAAACTTACTCTTATGTACTTATGCCTTGAAAGAGTTTTTCAAATTCAAGCTCAGGGTACGTGTTGCATGCACGTTTTATGTCCAAAGCTATTTATTATTATTT